TGACAAAATGACAGGTTCTTAAGCACAAATTTACCATGTGCTGTATTATATGCCTCACGGTTTACCACCAATTCCTAATGACAAGAGATCGTTTCTCTGGTAGTTTACTGAATGCAGACGTAGTGATTGGTCTACACGATAACAATAGCGTGTAAATGAGGAGCATGGTAGATGGTTTTCCATTGTTCTAAACCAATTTCAGGTTTGTGTGTGTAAAATGGACAACATACAGGTATGTAAACCGTTACTGTCGTCACGTTTTAGTACGCTGCACTGTTATTTTTCTCCCCTGTGACTGCGTATTATCAAAATTCTGTTCAATGCACATTCATTTTGCATTACTTCATAAGATATTGACGATGTATCATGTATTGTATAAGAATCTCAAATGATTGTTTTCCATGAGATACAGCAGTTTGACATCATCCTAAACCTTAAACATTGAACTGCTATTATATGTTACCGTTCCATTACCATTAGCAAACATATATTCAATATTCAGACAGATTACAATATATCACAATGTTTCCTTTTTATTTAACAACTTTTTTTAATTAAAGGGGGCATTTAAAAAATAAGGCGACCTTTTTCCTCAGAACTGTATCCGCTAGCTGCTGTACTGGTACCTTTACTACTTTAAACATGTTTGTTCAGGATGTCTCAACAGTGCTTAACTTGTGAAAACACGTGTACTTAAGCATTTAACAAAAGCGATTTTGAAAAGCAATATTTATGCAAAAAAGATGGGGGTAGGTGCCTATTCTTCTTAAGTCTTCTCTTCCAAAGAATACACTGTCGTGTTCTCTCCCTCTGCCTGCTGGAAGCCATGGTTATACAAAATACATTGTGCTTTTCGACTGCCCAATCGATTCCTCGTAATTTCTTTGGCGGATTTCATATAATTAAGATCGTATTTGAATCTAAAGATTATGAAGGTGACTAAGACATATGGATTTATCACACTAATGAGGATAGAGTGAACGAAGATCAAGTCGGGTCAAGGGTTTACTGGTATTTTGCAAGCAGTCTATCGGACAACATGTTGCTCCCCATGTATCAGTTCTTGTCATCGCGTGTGCTATTCTTCTACGACACATATGATCGATCAATCCAATTCCCAGAAATACTGGATCAAATGAGGGCAAACTCTTTAAGCTGGAAACAAACCACATTTACATTCGTGTACACTTGAACTGTCAGGGTTGTTTGATTATGCGAAACTAAACTAGGGTTCATCGAGGAGATCATGTGTAGAAATTCCTCATCTCGGAGTCTATTTTGGTGAAAAGGGAAGTAACTGGTATATAAGGAAGCAGCGTTTTTAATTCATTTGGCATTGAGAAAATTGGAACAGTGCTCAGATGTTTGAAAGTCATTGAATATTTTTATCATTATTTTGTTGTTGTTGTTGTTGTTGTTTGCAAGAGCTATTCTTGATAGGGCTATAGCAATTCTAGGTTTGATTCTCTCCTTAAATAATGTTCCATTGAGGGTGAAAACAAATTTCAAGGATTACTTCACGGAAATATTATTTTCAATTCAGTTTTGAAAAATATCAACTCGGGTTTTGGTACAGAGGCGGAATCTTAATTAAAGCTATTATTTAATTTTCCTTTCGGAATAGATATCGATTGTTTTTATGCTTGGTCGTTCCCAATGTTGTTCGTTCTATCTCTCAGCGTATTCCAAAGGGCAGAGCTCTTTGCCGATAGTACAATTATCATTCAAATTGATATCAGAGTCGTGTTTGTTAGATAGGCATATGTCAGGTTGTTTGATAGATATATTTGACCGGCATTCATTTTGCCCCCGCTACATGTCAGATACGTTATTCGCTGGAGATTCGGCAAAGGGCAATTTCTGTTGATATTTGGACTCGTTTAGGACATATCTTGAATGCATTTTTATTCATGGAGGTGGGATGCTCTTGTTGTGTGTTTCGTGTTCACCAGAAGTAGCTCAAAGTGACAGACACTGCCCATATAGTATAATAGTTATTAAACACGAACGCTATTTTAACTGAAATATGGTAAGTGGATAAGATCTGTATCGTAAATAAATTTACTCTGTAGCTTCAAAGTATAATTAAACCCGTGATTGTTCCAGTTTTTGCATTAAGTTCTAAAGCAATATATTCATGTCAATTATCAACAAATAAATAAAAATGCAGTGAACTGTCTTGCCATGCGGTATTTTAAGGCAATAAATCTCGGCCTTGCTTATAAGACAAAAAGTATATTACAATAATCGGTTATCTTTACCCATTGTACACGTTCCGGATGTCAAGATAGATGGACGAACCGTAATTTTCTATTTAACACTAAAAGGATAACAACTGTTCATTTTGAAAAAAAAAATTTTTTTTTCTGGGGTAAACAGCAATTTTCCCACACTTATCAGTGGTTAATGAATCGATATCTACATTCAAAGTTAGTCCCTGGTTTTTTTCTAAAAAGTTTTTTATTGTAATAATCTCTTAAGAGGTTATTACAGAGTATATCCATCTATGGAGGTCACGTGGTCCGATGACAAGCAGAGATTTTAGATCAATTGCTATAACGGCCGCTTTTGTGGTAAAATAAAATATATTATATTTCTATGAGTTGTTTACAAAGTATTTATTGTGAAATATAGATCTCATGCGAAGAGTTGCTATCCCTTTAAGTTAACAGTATTTTCTCCATACAACTGAAGTTTAACGGGAAGGCTGTGGAGGATTTTTACGGCAATATGAGGCCTGCCCACAGAGGCAAATTAATTTGTTTTGGCTTCCTTTCTTTTGCCACGACGGAAAGGCTCTGTCACTGCTAACAAAATCCTTGGTTACAAAGAAGGCAGAAAGCAACATGTAATTTCCGCCATTATTGCATTGCGTTTGAAATAGAGAACCCGTCGTGGTGACACAGGCGATTTATAAATGTCAAAGACAGACGCAATGTGTTTAATCCACACATATTATTCGTCTCCCTGTGCGATACATTGTAAGAGCCATCAAACTCACGGCGGGCCCCAGCTCCAGACAATATTCATAATATCGCCGGACCAAATGTTGCATAATCCAATATCGTAAGCAGATTATATTGATCAGAGCGGTCACAGATTAGATAAATGATACTTATCGCAAAGACTTGGATTTCTGCTTAAGGTCAATAACCCAGACAAAGACAAACCATCCATTTCTTATAATATTATGTAATACAGATATCACTGTCAATTTTTCTGGTTTCCACGCAGACGCGGGCTTTGGGGATGGATTGCCCGCTTTGAATGGCATTGCAGTCAAGAACAGTTTCCAAAAGAATTGGACATTAGGTATTACTTAGAATTAGTTATCTACTTATTTTGACATATGTGAAAGAAAATACATTTTACAATACGACGACCTATGAAATTGGTTTCGTCAACATTTAAAATAAACGGCCAGTAACGGAGTTCCCGCGTTTCATGTTTTTTAAACCCATTTCAGTATAGGCTGGAGCCAGATTTGAACGACACTGAATATATAACATACTTAAAAACCATCCACGGAGTTTAAAGATAAACTTTTCTTATATATCGGATTTATGAGGACTGTATACGGCGGTGCGTTGATGAACGATCTAATATCCGACGTTGATGTCAAAGTGTCAGGATTCTAGGGACTGTGATGGATCATGCCGCTATAGAATATTGCGCAAACACGAAAACCTCATAAGAGCTCCTCGTTTAATGTCAAAATTGTTTTGTGCCACACTATAGAAGAACAACTTGATTTTGCTACGACCGCAATTGTACGATGATATTTATTTACATTCTCTTCAAGTTCTGAGTTATGTTGACAAATTGGCATTGATTCTCACTTCTCCGCAATAGCAAATTTTCGTGTTTAAATTCATCGAACTCCTTACTTTCAGGTGTTTATTGTGTGTCTTTACTATTTCCAGATAAATTCGAGCCAGCGCGCTACAACTTAGAATGCAAGCAGTCCATCATGTATGACCTTTAGGGAGAAAATGGCATCAGAGAATTTGTGTAACAGAAAACTTGTGTGGGCCTAACGTATATAAGGAGCTCTTTACATATGACATATCAGGAGATAACGCTGTGCGACAATTACATTGGTTCACAGAATAAGAATGCCGTTATTCAGTAGACGACGATAATCGTTTGTATCAAATTTACCAGGCTAGCTGTTCTTTTCCAAATTATATCAATGGAGAACTTGTACTAGGCAACAGAGATGCAAAACTCACAACACCATGGCGACTCTTAACACAAACAACTGAAGATGTACTTCATGTTCACATACATGACATCTGATTAACTGAGAAAAAGTGCCTTCACAAAAATGGAGACTTCAAAACTTTGGCATCCTATGAAGAAAGTTAATAGACATTGTCTTTGAATTTGTCAACAAAACTGATTCAAAACAATATACGCATTTGGATTACCTCACTAGAAACTCGGATGTTTTTACCTTTTTGTGTATTCTGTTCAAGGATCGATATCATACCTCTACATCCGGCTTTGTATTTAATGATACAGAGAACGCTGGAAGAACTCGCGCCAAAAAGCAGCAGACGATATCACAGGGTCGAAATCAAGATCAACATGTACAGACTTATTGGGAAATATGAGACAACAGACCTTTAGCCTACGACAGTGCTCGGAAATAGATAAAAGAATGATCCTGATCACATTGTTAATTGCCTGATTCCCGAAACACGATGCTATTTACCACACATCAAGTATGATTTTATTGAATCAACTACAAAAAGAATGACATTGGTTCCAGTGATGTTAATGTTCGAACAATGTACTTAAAACGCGCGAATTAAGAGATGACAGAGGTTCATGTGGATCATAAAAAAAAAGATACCACAATCCGCTAAAACGCTGTACAAGGACACATTTAGACAAATGGATTTTCGATCAGTGGCAAATCTAGAAGTCGATGACGTCATTCGTTATGAAACAATGACTTTAAAACGTTAAAAAAGAAACTGAACAAAACGATAATTATGTCGTTACGATCAGCAGTACATCCATTTGCAGACGACGTCCCGGGTCGACCCGAGACTACGGATGGGAGACGGTTATCCCCCAATCTTCCGGGGCTTTCAGCAAGGGGTTCAGTGGTTTCCACAGTGGAAAATGGACAGCTAAGTCCCCGCAGTTTAAGGCCTGTTGAAGACGATGCATGTTCGGAGATAATACGCATTGAGCAACAAAGCTCGGAAGAAGATAGGTTTTATCAGACGACACTCGGTAAAGTTGTGAAAACCTTACAGGTGAGTTGGTGAAATCGTTGTCTCATTTATCTTTCACTACACACACAACCTTCCCACAAAAGTAGTTAGTACTGGAGCGTGGGGGTATAGTTTTGAATGATGAAAATCATGAAAGACATTCCGTCTGAACGATGTTTTATAAAATTTTTATCTCTAGATTAAATTGACCTTTTTTTCAGGAAAGTGCAAACATTTTCTTTGATATTTCGTCTAAAAGCGAAATTCCATATATTTTATTATTCTTGAATGAAAAAAAAAAACGTTTATAACGTGCATTGCTTGGCATATAGCGTTACGTATTTAGATGAAAGCACACGTTACCATTTCCTGATCTTTTGCTTGCATATTGTGAATAGAATTTGTCACCCGATATGTAAAAAGTGATATTTAGACAGCCTATACCGATCAATCTTGGTGTAAAAGGTACGTTCTTCAAACTATCCATACATGTACCTAGTATCACATTTTGTCTCCAACTAGTCGAGTTTTGGATGTGACGTTGGCTACGGGGTCCTGTTACATGTATATGTATTGCCATACATGCCACTAAATGCCACTAAATTGAAAAAAAATACCAATTGCCATTTTTATGGATAATATTCTAAGATGGATTAAAGAAAATTTCGAATAATAATAATAATAATAATAAGTCTTCAATTAGAATATCGTGAAATTGGGGTACGACTATAATTTGTACAGTGTAAATGTTATTAGGTGTTTTGCGTCAAATCTGTTACGGAATATCGAAGTTGGTGATTAAATAGCTTTGTCTTAACAGTGCGGACTTATGACGAGATAATCTGTCTCTGGGTGACTGAAATTGCTTGATAAAAACTCAGTCAAGAGCTTACTCTGTCTATAGCTTATGCTTGTTAAAACAAGACAACTCAAACGTTGACAGACACTCGACTTTTCCATTTGCGCAATCCGTGACTGTCACCTGTTCTTGCTGCCATTTCTTTTGTATGCGTAATGTCAGTAAGAAGTTCTAAATGTAATACTTATCATCTTTATGTCAGCCAAAAACAAGTCAATTTGGACTTAAAGGAAGTTACATAAACGGGTTTCGATAAACTCCCCTCCGTCGACTGTTTGATTTTTGTAGGGACCGGGACCACTAAACCACGTTACCAAAGAAGACGTCATCAAAGTTCGTTTCAGCCTCACAAGACCCTGACTCTGTGCTAAATTTGTCTATGGAATAGCGTTAATTTTGAGCGACTTTGGCACTTTGCATTTATTGAACCCACTGTATCTTGGACAAAGCATTTGCTTTTCGCTATGAATTGATGATAAATAACCAAAAATATAAAAAGGACAACAAATGACAAATGTTTTACGAAAACATTGTCACCTGAGGCTAGAGCATGAAATTATAAAATAACATTATTGCCCTGATTGAATAATGCATCTTATCTTAGTTAGACTGTACTGAAGCTGCACATGTAATGTTGTCATTTTAGCAAGTGTTTCATTTAGTGCATCAAAAACAATTTCGTTATCTAGATTAATATGTTTAGATCTGATTCAATAAAATGACGACAGACATCAATCTGTTCCTGCTCCAACCCAATCATTGAAATGGAAAGTATGTCCAACAAATCTATAGCTTTGAAGCTTACAGACACAGACAAATCACATAGCCTGTTATTAGAGGGGGAAGTGCACTAAAAACACGTGATCAATAATTACACAACTACAAGCTTTCACATGCTAAAGACTGTTTTCGCAAACCGTGGGCACAGAATCGATCCGAATGCCATCTTGTGGACAAGGAAAGTCAAATGTATTACCTCGCGCAAAAGGGCAGCAAATTCTTACACGAGAATTGAATCAAACTAACCGATCAAGTTTTGTTACATCATATCATATCATATCATATCATATCATATCATATACCATACCATTCCATACTATAACATGTTGGTCTATCATAAGAAATGTATGGCAAATGTTTCATACCCAGGTTCACTCTATTAAAGTGGACTGTTAGGGATTTATTTTGAACTGAATTAGACCAGATAGCATAAAGTTATTTAATACTTTAGAAAGTTCTTTTATGAAAACGACCCAAGATCTGCTTTGAAGCATTTTAATGAGACGCATCAGGTTAACATAAGTGCAATTTTCTCGGAAGAAACTCATCATTAAAAGCAAGAATCATTAACGATAAGCGCAATGAGATTCACCTGAATATTTTTTACACATTCAGACAATTGAATATTTTACATATTCAGACAATCCATACATGGGCGACAGGGAAACGCCACAGCGATGTGGACAGACGGCCAGACTCCTTCCTGGAGCGGTTTGCTATGGGAGGCAGCTCAATTATTGACGAGGAGGGAAAAATTGTCCATAGGAGGAAAGATTCAGATTTTAGGTAAAGTTCTCTTTCTTTCTTTCTTGTTCGTTTTATCAGTTTCCATCTATTCGTTTGTCACCCCAAGCCGACCCTCTCCTCCCTTCTGTTCTTCCTTCTCTCCATTATGACATCATCATCATCTCTCTCTCTCAGCATACTGCAGGTAGTCCTTTTGAGCCTTTTTTTTTGCTACTTCTACAGGAAGGTACTAAGAAATTTGCCTGTTGCCCGTTCTGTCCAACTTACCAGCGTTGCGTTAAGTTGTGGGTGTAGATGTACTCTTGGTCAAGCTTAAATTTATTCAGAAATACACCATTCTTACTGCTGATTGGAACACTTCATCAGTGACTGCAATTTATTTCTAGACAGGCTAATGAAATTGATAACTCTGGTGCATCTTTTCTTTTTATTATTTTCAGAAATTTTAAAAATTGGGTGATAGATCCTTCGGAGCCGCTGTATTACAAGTGGTTAGCAATCATCTCCCTATCCATTCTATACAACATAGTATTTATTATAGCCAGGGCGGTGTTTTGGGAGCTTCAAGAAAACTACGTGCCCCTGTGGCTGACGCTAGACTACCTCAGTGATGCTGTGTACATACTTGATATGGTGATACATTTCAGAACAGGTATTTATATTTTGTGGCAGCAGGGTTAAATTTCATGTTAGTTTGATCAATCGTTGCTTTCTGAACTGTGACAGATCCGTATAGTACACAGAAAAAAAAAATAATAATAAGGAAAAAACAGCATAACGAGCCAAAGGAGAAAAAGTTTTCCTTACCCTTGCTTAACTTAATATAGTGGCATTGCCCTTGTCTGTTGTTTTACATTTCATCCTCCTGATCCCCACCCCACCCCTTAGCGAAATCCCGGGTCCACTAACTTATAGCGCCTATATAATCATATTCGTCGTAGCAAAAAAGGCTACTATTTACTGCAGAAAAGTCAGTATTTGTTGACGAGATAGTCAGTGGAGTTTTGGGACTACCGTTAAAGGATAATGTTGATTACGCCTACTGCCCCCAATGTTTTGTCGACGGTTGTAAGAGTTTGACATTTTTATCCCAGGAAAAAAACAGAAAACAGTATGTAAATACCACGCTTACATTGATTTAGTTTACCAGGGCTGGATTTTAGGTAAATTTATAATTGATTGCTTTTAGAAGAGCTTGTGCTGATTTGAAATAGGATAAGCCGCATGCCCACATCATGCATGTAGATCGGCACACGTCATAAGTGAGACTTCACATGCTCGCAAATGCAAGCAAAAACGTGCAAGCAAACTGATATAAAACATGGTTTGGGGGTTTTGGTGTGAGGGGGCTGTAAGATTTCATTGACCTTTAAGCAATTGTTACTTTCTTACAGTACCATTGTTTGCAAAAGTAAAAAAAAATTGAATCTCTAATTAATTCGTTTGTATTTTGAATTGATTTAATGATAATGTTATAAAATGGGAGTCTTATGTCTAGACAAGCGTGCATTTCTATTGCTTGTCTCTATTGCTATTTTCTGTACAAAACCCCCTGTGGAATGAACATTTTGATTGAAAAGCGAATACTCAAAGAACAATTATATGATGATACGCATTTTTTCTGTTTACTGATCCAAAATCTTTCTCTGTTTCCAGGTTATCTTGAACAGGGACTTTTGGTTCGAGACCCTGCAAAATTACGTCTGAACTACGTGAGGACCTGGGGGTTCAAGTTCGATGTGGTCAGCATACTGCCCACCGATATATTCTACTTATTCACCTCCATTCACGCTACGTGGCTTCGATTCAACAGATTACTCAGGTTCTACCGCATGAAAGAGTTCTTCGATCGCACGGAAACGAGGACGAATTTCCCGAACCTTTTTAGAATTCTGAACCTTGTTCTGTATATTCTTATCATTATCCATTGGAATGCCAACGTCTATTTCTTGATCAGTATGGTGATAGGTTTTGGATCCGATGAATGGGTTTACCCTAATATTACCATACCTAAATTTCAACCACTATCACGAAAATATGTGTATAGTTTTTACTGGTCAACCCTGACTCTAACCACAATTGGAGAAACACCCAAGCCCGAGAGAGACAGTGAATATATTTTTGTTGTAGTGGATTTTCTGATTGGAGTCTTAATTTTTGCCACCATCGTGGGTAATGTAGGAAGCATGATAACAAACATGAACGCCAGTCGTGCCGAGTTTCAGCAGAAGATGGACGGTGTTAAACAGTATATGGAGTTCAGAAAGGTCGGTAAAGAATTGGAAAGGCGAGTCATAAAATGGTTCGATTATCTTTGGACCAACAAGCAATCGTTGAACGAAGAAGCAATATTATCGACTCTTCCTGAAAAACTAAAGGCTGAGATTGCCATACATGTCCACCTAGAAACTCTTAAGCAAGTAAGTATATTTCAGGACTGTGAACCGGGCCTCTTGGCACAGTTGGTTCTCAAGTTGAAACTACAAGTCTTTAGCCCCGGGGATTATATATGTCGTAAAGGGGACATAGGTAGGGAAATGTACATAGTCAAAAAGGGAAAGCTACACGTTGTCGGCGACGACAGCCAAACAATTTACGCCACTTTAAGCGACGGCAGCGTTTTCGGGGAGGTCAGTATTCTGAACATTGCTGGGAACAAGACGGGCAATAGAAGAACCGCTAACGTTCGCAGCGTCGGTTATTCGGACCTTTTTTGTTTATCTAAAGATGACTTGTGGAACGCTTTACGGGAGTACCCAGAAGCGAAAAAAATTCTCATCGAAAGAGGACGTCAAATTTTGATGAAAGATAACCTGTTAGATGAGGAGGCTATGATTGAAGAGGAAAGAAAACAAGAAACTGTTGAAGAAAAAGTGGAAAGAGTAGACCTCGGACTTGATAACTTGCATACAAGATTTGCTCGTTTGCTAGCAGATTTTAACAGCACCCAGCAGCGGCTTAAACAACGAATTACTAAACTGGAGAAGACTCTATATGACCAAGACGGTCAGAGCCCTAACGGCAATACTGAAAGTGGAAACGAAGCCGACATGGAAGGCTAAATAGTCAAATTGCTTTTTAAAACACTGCGTTTATAAACGCTTGTTTTGTGCCTTCCCTCAACATTACCAATCTACCTCCTGAAAAGATAAAACATGAAGTGAGATAAATCAAAAGTTCCGTGTCTTTCTAATTTCTACTTCGCCTTTCACCATTTCTGTTGAAACATTTCAAATCAGATTGCGTATGATTACGTGACAGAGTGATTTTTGAGAAGGGGGTTACTCATTACATCGAAGAATTGTTTAATTTTATAATTATCATTATGTAAGAAGATAATATTACATAACCGGCTGCTGACACGATATAGGTTAAAGTAGTTCCAATGATAAACTTAATATCATTTGACAATTTTTCCAATGTCTCAATACGTTTTCAAAGGATAAATTTTATAAAACACCTTCGGGGGTGATATTACATGTAACAAACAGGATATTCAAGCGAGGAATTTTACAGTTTGTCTAAACATCATTCATGTATATGAGAGCACAATCAAGCTTCATTTGGTGATGGCTAGAAAGTGGCATAATATTACAATAAGTACAGATAAATAACATATATTTCACTTACGTATATATCCGTACAGACTATTGACTTGGAAGCCAATGTTGTAAAAAAAAAAAAAAAAAAAAAAAAGAAATCAATCATCAGAATTCAATCACCTTGTCGCTTTATATGCAATAAAATCACTTTGGAATAAAAACAGGAAAGTCGATGTTTTCTCACAAAAAGAAAAATAGATGTAAAATCGCTCACCGTGCTGAACAAAACAATATTTTACTAACAATGTGTTTATAGCAATGTAAACCTTGGCGATTTCGTAATGAATGTACATGTTGTATCAAAGCCCATAACAATCGCCATCACTGTCATTTACTTAAGGTAGTTCGGAATGAATATTACATGCATATTTAATCACAGTTGCCATAATATACGTATATATTTCAAAAGAATGAACATTTCGTACGAATAACTGATATCTTTTTCAAATGCATATGATACGTAAAAGTATATTACTCACAAAATCAATTTCGAAGCGGTTACTCATGGTAAAAACACCACGCGGGATTTTTTCAACTTTGACCAATCGGGGGGAAAAAGATAAAGGACCTTGTTAATATGTTATCAATTGTGATGCAACAATTTTGTTTTTACAACTGCAGCCAAAGTCAGCATACCAAATGTATAATCAACGTTTTCCCCAGTCTTAGCGGACACGAAAAAACAAGGGTGTTCCAATTCCTGTTCAATTTCCTCTCTCGAAGGCAATTCCGGATCCCACTGGAGATCCGTCTTATTACCTATAAATGCTATGAAGGCGTCTTCTCCTGTGCGTTCTGATTTGATATCGGCATACCACCTTTTTGCGCCAGCATATGTACACGCATTAGACACGTCAAACACAATGGCACAGCTTGCGTTGTCTTTATAGTACAATTTTGTCATATTTCTAAAACTTTCTTGACCTGGAGTGTCAAAGGATTGGAGCTGCACAATGCCTATGGTTGTCCTAACAGTGCTTAAAGTAAAATCAACTCCAATTGTTGCGATATACCTTGGCTTGTATGATTTCTTAACCCATCTATCATTAAGACATGTTTTGCCTGTGCCTGAATCACCAACCAATAACAGTCTAAACCGAAGGTTTGGTGCAGCTGAACCATGTTCGTAGGAGGGGCATTTCTTGGTGACCTCTATAGGGGCATGGGGCGACTGAAGCATGCGCATGATTTCTTTATTTTGCATAACGGCATGTTCCAGCTGTAGAAACAAAGCCTGGTTATTCGCACGAATTTCCTCCAATGTTTCTCCATTTTCCTTTACGACTTCCTGTATCAGCAATTGCCGCTCCCCGTCCCTCAGTCTTAGAATCTTCAACTTTTTCTTAGATCGCAGGGCGAGGAAAATAGCAACAAGTGTACTGGGAATGGAAAACAAAGAAGAGGCAAGAGCCGCATACGCTTGCACGTTCTTTATATTGTCCGGCAACACGGGTAGGACATTTGACCAGCACAGTATCCACAAGACGGTTATCACAATCACAAGAACAATTCCAAAACATTCCAATCCAATCGCACGAGCAGCTTTGCAACAAAAACCTGCCATTTGTTTTTCTGGATCCTTCTGTATGGCCTCAGCCTTACGTGATCTCAATTTTGCCAAAAGTATTGGGCACAAAATCTACTACAAGTAGCAAAAAAGCGCCCGAAGACAATAATCCACAGACAGTACCACGAACTGGCTGATAAGTCAATGCAGGCAAGCGAATACAGATAGCGTAAAGACTTGCTTACAGTTTCGGGCTAAAGTTTGCTAGCATGAAAAGTGACACGAGGCACAACTCGGGCACATGTTCTCATTTCCAGGTATGATCTAAAAGAAAAACAAAATAGAAATAACTAGAAAAGCACTCCGAGAGCGCAGACCTCCGCCAAAGCAGCAAAGTCTCCACCCAATGCCATTTCACCCCTAAATTTTCATTCTATAATGATTTAAGTTTTTTCACCACCAAAAACTAATAATCTGTTCCTTGGTCCACTTCTGACACAGGCCTTCCCAACTACCAGACTCGGCACCGAATGATCCTGAATTCACCGGTAAATCGGACCACACTACCCGTTTTCAAGGTGTGTATTAGTACGCATTTCACAGTATCAGACGCGACACCGCTCTTGCCTAGTACGCGATGTGATAGTGACGATTCTCAGTGGGGTTGAAAAGCATTGCATCACCACTCAAAATTTGTTCAGGGTATGATACTGTGTAATGCGTACTGACTCACACCTTGAAAAGGGTAGTGTGGTCCGAGCTACCGGTGAATTCAGGATCATTCGGTGCCGAGTCTGGTAGTTGGGTAGGTCTGTGACAGTTCCAGAAAATTTCATCAAAATCGGTCTATAACTTTTTCTGTAATGTTGCTAACAGACAGGGAACAGATAGATAGACAGACAAACGAACAAACTAACGGAACCAAAAAAATAACCTCCTTGGCGGAGGTAATAAGGGAGGTTGGGGGGGGGGGGGGGGTAGTCCTGGAACGACCGGGCGTTTACCTTTGGAAAAGAAAATATATTCAAACTGTATAATAATAATAATAATAATAAAATAATTAATGATATAACTTTCCGTTTCTTTCTACATAGCCTACTTAGCCTATCATTTGTATATACCGGTAAACAGTGGCGGATTAAGGAGGTGACAGGGGGGTCCTCCCCCCCATTCGATTTCTGAAAAAAATCACACCAATGGTCCCCTCTTGAAATTAGAATTTTGACTAGCTGCATCATTGTTCTAAACTGTACCAAGTGGCACCGTTCGCCCTCTAAAATACCAATTTTTCCGTCCTCGGATCCCACGCCAAAAAGGGGGGGGGGAGAGAGAGAGAGGGTCGATTTCGCATCCGCAGACCCCCCCCCCTTCAAAAAATCCTGGATCTGCCACTGCTGGTAGTCTACATCGAAATGTGTCGGTGGTAAGGTAGTGCTAGAGTAATGCTCTTATTTTGAACGTAGCTAAAACCAAATAGTGGATTTTAGAAGGAACCAGAATGTAAAGGCGCCCCTCACCATTGGCAATGGTGAAGTAAGTAGGGTAGAGGAATCTAAACTACTTGGTATAACCTGAATAGTAAATTGAATTGGAAAGATAACACCACGTAGTGTGTAAAGAAGGCACGGCAAAGACTGTATTTTTTAAGGTCATTGATAACTTTTACTGATAGCGTGCCTATTTTTTACAAGTGTGTAATTGAAAGCATCCTGGCGTACGGAATTATAATTTGGTATCCTTTCCGGAACAACTGGGGAGGAAAGAAAGAAACTAACCAACGTTGTAAAAACTGCAAGCAAGATTATCGGATAGGATCTACCCAAGCTGGACGGTATTTTTAAAGACAGAATGGAGAAAACAACTGTTAACACCATGGAAGACTCTTCTCATCCAGAATCATCACTTTTTAACTTTTAAAGGCAGTTAACGCTTTTTAAACAGCTTTTATCCAAGTGCAGTGGCGTATTTTAATTTGATCTTAAAACCAAATTTTAAATTTAACTTTTGTATACTTTTACTCTGTATATTATCAAACCTGCTCCAAAATGTAAATGGTTTCCGATTTTTATAATCTTATCTCTTATCTCACATTGCACCGACCTTTGTACACACTCGTGATTTCCGTCTTGGTGTAAAAACAATTAAACAGTCTAGAAATACGTGACTTAACCAAAATGATATTGACCTTTAAACATTGAATAGTGTTGTAGTTTTAAAAATTCATGACCTGACCCTGCCAAATCAAGACTGCCCCCGCCCCCGCCCCCAACCCTACAGAGTAGGCCACGGTACTACACATCCAGACCCACCCCCAGAACAAGCATTAAACAAACTGCAAAAAGACCCAAAGCCCCATATCTAGGTTGTTAAATAATTTATATAACAAGTCAGCCACCTTAAAAATTGTAAAATTAACATCCGTTAACTGAATGGTATAATGTTATAGGCCTACCTACACGATCGACATACTGAAAAGTATCACTAAGTAGTAGGCCTACCGTAGATCTACGTACATGTACCCAATAGGCCTATTTACAGAATTTACAAAACCCAGGGGCGGATCCAGAGATATTTTCTGACAGTCTTCCAAATTATCTTTGTTGTTCCATCATCCGTTTTTGACCGTCTTCCGACAGAAAAAAATACATACCCATCAATGTAAACTTGAAAAACTGACCGTCTTCTAGAAAACCCAGAAGACGGCCTCAATCCGCCCCTGAAACCCATTTACTTATCATGAACAATATCGTCAAGTTTGAGATAATATTTTACTGCTGTGGTCTACATATCAAAAAAGATTTTGGTCAATAGTTTGACAAAATATAAGCTCACCAAAAATCCTGCATCTCAGAATCAGTGTAGAATCAGGAAACGAAACAACCAGCCCGGGAGCCACTGGTCTGCCGCTAGGTGGCTATTAAACAAACCGGAAGTTCGAGAATTTGAATTGGGCAATATTTTTTGAGATTTATAGGGTGTCATAAACGGTGTATTATCTCGGCTATTAACGTACTTGGGGTTACAATATGTACATTGTCATATTGAGAAATAAATTTCGAATAATGTGAGATGACCCAAAAGTTGATCTACAGCATATTAAATGTTGAAAAATGAGTTTGAAATCGAAATTTTATTAAAGCTATTACGGAAGTTCGTTTTTGATTTTGATTTTTGTACCTATAGAGGCCTCCGCACAACTTGAAATTACTACAAGTTGTGGAAAATTTATTCAGCTTTCTGTCAATGTAAGCATGTAAAGAACTTTGCCTTAAGCTGTGAATGGCACAAATCAATGCATTCACGGCCATGTCAGCCTGAAAACGCTCACTTACGATATCCGCATATACGCTGAGATTTTTGGTAAACAGCCGCAGCTATCAGAACAGACTCTCAAAAGAATATGTGTTGGCGGGACTGCTCTTAAAATCGTTTTAATTACTGTTTTTATTGTATTATTTTACACATTTTTTTTTACTCATCTTTTAAGGTGGTTTTAGCAAGGAGTTCTGTTATAACTCCTTGGTTTTAGTAATAAATAATAATAATAAATAATAAAATAAGCCTCGCTTTGACTTAGTGCTTTCTCATGAGCTTCAGTCTCGTTTTAGTTTTTCCTTCACACAGTATTACTTATATAGAGCAACTGGGTATTGGGGACAATGAAATAATTTTTTTCTTAGNTACTCATCTTTTAAGGTGGTTTTAGTAATAAATAAATAAATAAATAAATAAATAAGAGAAAAATAAATTTACTTCAAATAGAAAAAAAAATTAATGAAAAAATGCCATTATTTGAAAAAAAAGGATCATGAAAACATAATTCCTTACTACAATGCAGGATGTACGGGCAGCAACTTTAGCCACAGAATTTGAGAGTCCAGATGTCTCTGCCTGGCCACACTGTGGGTCCTCGTCCCCACGCAGCCAGGGGATACCTGGGAAATATGTACATTTATTATAAGGTAAAACTTAAACAGCCAGGGGATACCTGGGAAATAAGTTTATTTTAGGGTAAAACTTTATTACGTCATTGCAAATTGAATTAATATTATAAGAGTAGTGAATACAAAGATTTATTTCAGATTTGCTAAAGATTTTCATGGTATTTGAAATTGACAATTTTTTTCATAGGTTAAAATGCCTAAAAGAAAGATGTTGCTTACAAATATTACATAATATACTCTCAAAATTTCACTTTATACTAACTTCAAAACTGATTTACGGTTAACATTTTATAATTTTCTCAGTCATAGACAATAAACCTTGAAAAGGTCAATACATTGTGCTTGTAATAAGATATTATATAATAAAGTTTTACAAGTATGTGTCTACTAAATCTCATGTCATTTCTGGAGATATGTTGAGAGACCCCCAAAAACCTCATTTCTCACTTGTTTTTACATAATTTCATCTACTAGTAAGAAATGAGACATATCTCAGCTTTTGTTAATAAAATTCTCTTACCTGAAAATTAAACAATTTGAAATCTGTAACAGTTGAATATCTAATCAAAGTGCAAATTAGACATCAATTATTTAATTTGTTCATTCATTCAAATGGGCAGCTAACAAGTCAATAAACCCACGCACAGTTAAGAGAAACACTACCTTTAATGGACAGATACTGAAGTGTCTTCAGTTGTCCAAAGCTCCTTGGCAAAGAGTCCAGTAACAGTTCATCCAATGACAGGCTGACCAGATATTTCAGCTGATCAATATGACAACTGGTCAGAGACTGAATGGTCACCATACTATGAGATGCATTGACCTCCCTCACTTTAGGCAGAACTCTGAAAATAATAAAAACGTATTGAATATCAAAATAAAGCATGAATGACCTTCTTACTTATTATCATGCTTCCATTAAAATGTCCAAGTTTCTATATTTTACTAAATAAATGAATTACTAATTAGCAAAATAAAAAAGGTTTTTCATAATACTTTTGTCTTTCCTAAGACTAAGCAAACAGTAATCTATTTAATATTCTACATGATTATCTTCTGACTTCTAGAAAACCTTCATAAATATCTACTATAATTCTGCCTGAAAGATGACACTGTTTTCAATTAATATTCAATATCAAATATCTTAATCTTTGGATCATTTACCTGAAGTCTGGCAAAGTCTCTACTAGAGACTCAGAGACATCCACCACTGTCAAGTTTTTACACTCCATAGATGAAACATTCTGGCTTGTTGTGATGAGGCCATTGACACAAAATTTGCCGAGATTTTTCATCTTCCACGTCGCTGGGAGCTGAGTAGTCAATTCCAGATTGCCGTCAGAGTATGTGGACGGCTCAAACCACGATGGCTGACCACAGGTAAGGTACAGCGTGGACAGATCTTCACTTTGTACAGGAATCTTCTCTAGGTCTGTATCTGTTTTTTGCAAAACAACAGCAACAGCATATTCGGTGCCTCGGTTTTTATCAAATTTGAACTTTTCCAGATTTTCCCCTTGCTTCAAGCTGACATGAGGACCCTTAACTTCGTCTGGTTTGTCATGAATCTCCCTGCAACCATGGTTGTGATTTTCCATCAAACCAGCTTGCAGGTCTCCATAGGTCTCACTTAATTCCTTGATCCATGGCACTGCAGCTTGCCTCTCCGACGTGAAGCCTCCTTTCCAAACATGCCTGCAGATGGCAGCACAAAAGGAGAGATATCTTTCTTGGAAAAGATACTCTATCTGGAATACATTGTAATAAATGATGAGGACTTGCTGTCCTTGAAATGTGGACATATCTTATTCTTTTTAAAAAGATATGCAACCTTTTCAGAAAATTTTATTTCAATAATATCTGAGTAAAATTATTTTGGATTGTGACAAAGGCTCTTATAAATCATTGACAAGTATTTTGCTCCCAATTACTGGTGCCTGCTTATAATACCAGCAATGTATTGATTCAGCAGCTGTGACTGAACAATTAATAGGACAACTATCCATTAGTTAAACTAGGTTTCACAAGATTTAATTTGAAATATTTTTTTGATATTTGACATATTCAAAGATTACAGATTACATTTCAAAATATATCAAAAGGTCATGACGCATATTTCTTGTGTACTAGTACAACAGGAAGTGACTGCACAATACCTTTTCCCGCTCTTGTGGGTTTGTTGAATCTAACAGGGGCAATGAGACCTAGAGAAGCAAAAAATTAATTATGTTTAGAGCTTACAAATAAACAGCATAAAATTTACAGAAAAGTACTGTTTATCATCATTTTTTTTGCTATCTGTGAAAATTATGCTACTGTACATAACATGGTATAATTTATCAAATCATCATACATTTCATATGTTTAAGTCCTTGTTATTCCATACTGCCTTTTAAAGCATTGATATAGTGAAATTGAAATATTGAAATAGTGATATTTCTACCGTAACTGTTTTATGAAATCATAACAATCAGTATAAATACTACTAAGAAACTATGTGAAATAGCTGAACTATGGTGCTTCTTATCTCATACAAGTACTGTCTACAAGTTATCCCCACATGTACCTACATGAACTCTAGATTTAAGAAATGATAATTTTTATAACATATATCTGTGCACTTACTTTTCTCTGGGCGAGGCCTCTGTAAATTCTGTTCATCAGCATATTCTCAAACATCAGCACTGCCTCAGCACTGGTCTTTACCTTCTGGGGAGCCATGTCAATCAAATGAAAATGAGCTGCAAGAATTTGAAGAAATGTTATCATTTAAACATGGCAAATAAGTTAGGACTTTCTATGAAATATTCTGTGGGGCAAGCTGATTAAGTTGAATTTTCCATCAGAAATGATCACACAAACATCTAGATGCAGCCAGATAGCCATATTAAAAAAGTACACTTGGCACAAATGCAAACATTGTATTGCAGTATCATGAATAATGGAATTCGTTTTTTTATTGTGCACAGGTTAAAGGGATAATAACTCTTCGTTTTGGCCAAAAAATGAATTTTCTTGGAGTAAACAACAATTTTCCCACTTGCCAATGGCTAATGAATCCATTTTTACATTCAAAGTTAGCTCCTGTTTTTTTTCTAAAAAGTTTGGTTTTTTTGTTGAAATCTCTTTTAACAGAGTATAGCCATCAATGGAGGTCACGTGGTCTGAAGACAAGCTCAGATATCAGAATAATAGCTATAACTTCTGCTTTTGTCGTAAAACAGAATATATTATATTTCTGTGAATTATTCACAATGTTTTCATAGTGAAATATAGACCTCATACGAAGAGTTATTATCCCTTTAAATTTCAAAACTTGGTTGCAGCTGGCTGTCATGTGTGGAAAAGAGGCTTCAGAGTAGACAAGTGCACTTGCAACAGCAGATGATCTGGCAGTAACACATATCACATGTCCAAATAAAGACAAATAATGATTTATATTTTTATTTTCATAAACCAATGAGTATTAACTTTTTGCTAATGAACTTGGACAAGCCTTGTATTTGAGCTTACCTGGATATCGCGGGTAGCCTCGCGGGTGTATCCAAGCTGGCCTGGTATTTTGACATGCCAACATGGCCGTCAGATTCCCAAATTCCAGAAGTTTCTTCAAGGTAACCTTCTTCAGAACTGCTTCAGTTAGTTCTGGGAGTAGAAGCCATGTGCCATGTGGGGTGTCATTGGCTGTCATTGTACCAGAACTGTAGGTGAGAGCTGAAAAAATGAAGAAAAATGCCAAAATTATAATTTAACTTGTGAAACCAATTTTATCAGCAACATTTTTCTTTTCTGTTCTTTTCTCTCTCTCTCTCTCTCTCTCTCTTCTTCTTCTTTTTTTTTTTTTTTTTTTTTTGCAAAATGCTGGAAAATATGCATTTCTTAATAGCAATGATATAAAAAAAGTTACAAAAAAGTCTATAGGGCAAGATAAATGAAAGGCTTTGTTGCACAATATACTGGTAACACATGTATTCAGGGAAGACCGTGTACAGTCCAGGGAAATACACTATAAATGAACAAAATATGTATAAAATGCATTTTTTTTCTTGTGGATTTTACCTATTTCAGTCCTGTCTCCTGGGTCAACTCTTCTGCAAGACAGTGTTTTTACGGGGGCAGGCAGAAGGTTATAATCCAGATTTCCAAACTAAAATAAATAGTGAATCTATGTGAATATAAGTATGAAAGGGAAAACTGTATCTCCCAAAAATACTATTACCTCTTAAATTAAATAGCATGACACTATTTAGCACCATCATGTACATTTTCTTGATTCATACAAAATATATTATTATTATAAGTAGTAAAATGATATTAACTTTATGCTATCAAACAAGTGTAATAAAAAGCAGACAAAAATTGAATCACAACTGATCATGTATTACTTGATGACATTAGCAACCCTGGAAAAAATGTAAAGGTGGTCAAATTAATTCTATAATAATCAATTAAGCAAAGCATTTTGTATAATTAGTGATAAGTTAAACACAGTCATCCTATTTATATTACAATTACCTTAGTGACTTTGACAGTGGGCCCTTTAGGTGAAGGAAATTCTGGATTCTTCTGAAACAAAATGGCCATATGGACCTGACCTTTGACCCCAGACTCTGATTGGTTGTACAGTGGTAGCTGAAAAAATGGGGGACGATAAAGATGCCGGTGGATCCAGGCTTAAATGCATTCACATCATTTTACAGTCTACTAATCAAATACACTTTCTTCTTCAGTCTACTCCCCTCAAACATAATTCCCCTGCCTCTCAATGACTGGCTTTTGACCATTACATATAATACCTTAACATTTTTAAAATTAAAATTTCTCATTGGAAAATACTTAAGAAGTGAAGTAATGCTTATGCTTAAGTTGCTTTCCTACTTCAAACTGAATTATGTTTTTAACAGGTTACAAAAAGTGAACGTGATAAGATTAAGAACTTCAAAATTTGAAGCTCTCAAAATTTACCATTTTGAAAACAATCACAAATGTTTGTATCAATCTGAAAATTCATATCAAATCACCGTATAGATCTTAAAGAAGTAAATAAGTTATAATACTGATGCATCTATGAAGATCTACTGTTAAGATGTAATACATATTAAATCTACATCAATCTGAAAGAGCCATTATCTGCATATTTCTATTACAATTAAGGCACATGGACTTACAGTTGTCACAAGGGTTCTTCCTGCCGGCAGCTCCCAGGTGACACGAACCTCTGCATTCTCTGCGCTGACATTCTGGACACTTTCCATGTCAACGACCACAGACACTCTGTCCCCACAGTCCAAGCTCCTCTTCAATTTCTCACTGGAATAACATTTTAGGTACATGTATCTGTCCTAACTATACCAAAATCCAACTTCTAAATGTAAGTCATAGAGTTAGAATTCCACAAAAGCTAATCAAACTTTACAAACAAAATGGATTTTTAGGTTATCAACTTAAAAAAAAATATTTTTAATCTATCAAACCAAGGTGCATCAAATTCTTAAAAATAGATGTGACAAACACTTCACTGAAATTTGAAAAGTTCATAAAACTAATTAACTGATAACAAATGTGACAAAACTTGCATGATATTATATAAGGACAAGTGAAAAATAAAACCATTCACACATACTCGTCCCAAACTGACAGAACATAGGACACAGTCTCTCTAAAATCCATGGCCTCCACCTCTGCATCAGAAAACCAGATAGGTCCCATATAGAACTTCCCACAAATGTCCACATCTTGGAATTCTACTTCCATAAAATTGGCAGGGTCTAGTCCAGCCAGTGGCATCTTGATAATGCAGTAGGACAAAAATGGGTCTTCTTCTTTTCTGCAATGTAATACATACATATTAATAAATGCATTTGTCTGTAGAATATGAATTTTCAACTAAAAAGAAAATCCAAAGAAACTATGCAATATATACAGCTGCAGGTGAATATAAAATTCAAATATCACAATGTGTCGATTCTAAGGAAAACTACCCCAACTGCAGAGGTTCCCAAAACTATCGAGGGCGGATTCAGAGATATTTTCTGACAGTCTTCCAAATTATCTTTGTTAATCCATCTCCATTTTTGACCATCTTTCGACAGAAAAAATTAGATACCCGTCAATATAAACTTGAAAATCTAACCGTCTTACGGAAGACCAGAAGATGGCCTCAATCTGTCCCTGACTATCCTCTACCAACAGCAAGCCTCTGTCATGTTTGAAACTCAGGGTGAAAAAAATAGACCAGAAAACAAAAAGATTTGTTTGGAACCTTAAACTCATTAAGCATAGTGTAACATTTTTGCACAAGGAAAAACTTTCTTTTCTAACTTGTGTCATATTGAAATTGGTTTTTATACACATAAAGTGGATTGCACTGACCGTTGTAATAGTTTGAATAGTTACACCACGAGACACAGAGGTGCATGGGACATAATTTCAGCACGTGAACTGATGTCATCTAAACCTCATGGACTAAGGCTGTATCTTACTCAATATATCAACTAAAAAGTCAGGGCCTGGTTTCATCAAGGCTGCAAAGCACTATCCAGTGGCTAAAAATGGCCGCTATCCTCTGGACAGCCCTATCCAGCCTTGATGAAACCGGGCCCAGGTGTGGTGTAGCTGTTCTTCATGCATGACGTGTTGTTGAGAAATGCCACATTAATTTTGTATCTTTAGCTCTCAACATCTATGATATAAGGAATAATATTCACTGAAAACATGTACTACATGTAAAGGATGGTCTATATCTGTCTAACCTGAAGGAAACAACAGTTCCTCTGGGCGATTCATCAACAGAGCAGTTGTAGACGTAGCAGTCTTCTTCTTCATCAAGAGCAGTCAGTGTAGGCACACTCCCCCCAGGAAAACTGGACTGTGAACATAAAAAAGAGATCTTGCAATTTCTCTACTAGACCATGAACACAGTTTCAATACATCAAGGATGGCTGTGCTAAATCCTTACTGAATTAGATCTTTGTCACTAACAGTCTTTATTAAATGTCACTTAGTTGGAGTAACAGTATTGAACTTTTAAAAATGCCTTTACATATTACAAAGCATATTACAAAGTTTGCATTATAATATCATTTGTTTCTGACTGTATATTATCACTGTTTATGTGGCACATAATTAAGAATCCTCTTTTATAGAACGTATGCACTGCACTTGCAACTTTAATTGACAGAAATACTAACCCTGATGACCAAGGGCATTGTTGGACATTCAAAGTTCCAGCCCCTGAACTCCCCTGCCTGCTGCCCCTGGGCGACCAGTGTGGGGTACCACTCCAGATTAGGAATCATGTACGTATTCAGGCAGACGCCATTCAGAATCACTTGGAGATACATTGGCAGCTGCTATGAGACAGAAAAATGTAGGTTCATGTTTTATAGTTACTTATAATAATACTTTTTGAACAAAATAAATATATAATTTTCCACAAAGGAATGCTTACCGGCGTTAGCAATACTTACAAAGAAATTTTGAGTCAAAAGCTTAAAAAAGGTGAACATACCATTAACTTTGTGTCAGTTAGTACATTTGTGTAAGTAACTAAAATGACATATCATGAAAAAGTAACATAACATAGTAAGTGAAAAGTATGAAATTTTGCCATATATGAGAAAATCCAAATAACACATCTTTATTAAATTTTTTATTTTTTTTATTTCAAGATTTATGATCTATCCTCATTCACAAAAACATACTTTCTAATAAGAACCGAGCCACAATAAATTTTTCTGGTCTCACTGTCAAAATATTCATTCATATTATATTTTGCTGAGTAAAGATAATCAAATGTTTTAATTAAATGAGAAATTGATACATCTTTTCTCTGGTGATCTGGATGCTCTAGTAGGTACAACTGTCAGGTGCAAATGTAATATATTTAATCATTTACCATGAATTATTTTATCAAGATACATTTTTATGTAAGAACATTTCTATTTATTACAGATATTGTACTTGACTGAAAGTTAAAAAAAATTCAATATGTTGCTTACCACAACAGATGCATCTTCATCTATCAACTTTGTCACTCCATTTTGGTCAAAACTGAAAAAGTATTAATGTTGATGCAAATCCTATTAACTTTATTGGCATGTACTCAGAGAACAATACTTATAAAATGATAATAAACATAACAAATTTCAAAATTTAAATTCTACCAAAATCTGAAAATGGCACCTTGAACTAGACTGAGGATTGTTTCTTAATTTAACAAAATCATAATGGAGGCCTTTTATTTAAACCAAAGAAATTGTGGAGTACACATCTAAGAAAAATTCCAAATTCTTTATATAGAATATCTTTAAATCAAGTAAAAAAGAATCTGAATTCAATGATTCTTTACCGCTCCATGGATCCAGGGTACACAGCTACTTTCAGAGACAAAACATCTCCTTTCTCTAGAGAACGGAGCAGACCGTAGGAAGCTGCTGGATACTCAGCCTGCTGCCCTACCATCAGTGTCACTGCCCCACCCTCCCCAATCAACAACTTCAATTCTTCGTCTTGAAGAAAACTGAAAGTAGATTGTAATGAACATGACAGAGAACCACAAAAAAATTCTTAGAGATTTTTTTCGTGAAAAATGACTTTTGGAGAAAAATTGAAAATGGTGATTAAAACTGGTGGTTTACTGTTTATTTTTATTGCAAGCATAAATATCTATTATCTCATTGCAAGAGATCTGAATATAATGAAACTGGAAGATGCTCATCATGGAAAGTTTTTTTTAACAAGTCAGTATAATATTTGACATAGAATATATCTAAAAAACTCAGACAAAATGCCCTTTCTGTTCACCTGCTAACATTTATTTGCATTTTGTTATATGACAGATCCAAATTTACTACATTTTTCAAAATAATAATAATAATAAATATAACAAAGAAATCACAAAAATAACTATTTTAACAATTACCTAGTCAGCAAAACAATGCCCTGAAAGTCTTGGTTCAAGTATTTCATGGCAGAAATATTGACTATCTGATGGACAGTGCCATCTAGAGGGTATTCACAATGGTAGGTGGTCATCGCTGCTTCGTGTGTCACAAGATTATTCATCAGAGACCCATAGCCAGGGTCCACCCTCGCATGAATAGTGCCCTGAAACGTGTCAGTTGTACATTATCATCATAAAGAGATAAAATAAAAGGGAATGTTTGCATGATTCTGTGAGATAATTGACACATACTGTGGGATAATTCATGTATAAAAATATAATACTAGGCAATAATGTGAACAAAAATTTGACTTAGGGCGCATTCCCATAGATTTTACATCGATCTATCCCCGTGGGGAGTCTCACTAGATTACTGTCAGATAATCTGGCTTAAGTGTCCGTCCGGCCTACTACAAGCTGTAAGGGGGTAATTAACTTAAGTGCCCGCGCGGCTGACAGCTATTTAGCGTGAACCCCCAGGGAGTTAGGTCGATCTAGTTGGATCGATCTAATCTCTGGGAATGGGGTCTTAGTATAATTATTGCATACAATTTGAACTCTTCTACAAATTCATTGGTCTCTTAAACAACAGACAAATACATGTTTTGATTCAAATTTTTCAGTACAAACTGCATCAACCAAGTAATGAAAAAAACATGCACACTATCAAACTCACTAAAACGTAAGCACAATGTCTGCACAGTCCACAGCGACGACAAGCACGGATTTCTGTGTCACATCCACATTCCTCCAAGTTTTCAAACATGACCGGGAGGTGCCACTCTGTGCCCAGGTGACAGGTTTCCTGACCAGAGTCCAGCTGTTTGAGAGACGATGCCCACACCTCTCCAGAACTGAATAATAATAATAATAATAAAACATTCAGTTTGATATTTTTTAAAAGTTTCCATTAATATCTTAGATATATGCGCAAAGATTTATTTTCAGAGCTTTTTAATCACTCTTTGATCCACAATCATAAGTTGGAGTATTCTTTATGTTCAGTTAATGATTTGTTTGTCATTCTCTTTTCTTAAGTCAATATTTCCACCAAGATGTACTTTTAGTAATTCAAGTCAAAAGTGACCTAACAGAATTTTCCCTCCTATAGATGTCTCTGCAGTCAGCATAAGGCATACCTGAGTCTCCTCTCCTTTATGCCGTTCCATGGACATGTTTTCCCCTTATCTGAGCAGTTGTTACACCGGGAGCACACGGTCACCTTGTAGTCCCAAGGGTATGTCCCATCTGGCCGGCTCCACACATGTTCCTGGCATAGGCAAGGGTCCACCTTTATGTCCAGCAGCTCAGACAGGTCACCTGTGATTGAAGTAAGTCATAATGATAATATTTTGAGCTCTATATTGTAAATTTTCACATTCCCCAGCTTTCTCGAAAAAATGATTTATCTGGATCATAGAAAACGTGTTTAAACTACCGATCTAAGACAAATGCACAATATATGAATGTAAAAGTAATAAAACGATAAACAAAAGCAACACATATTATCTGAACACTCTTAAAATATAAAAATTCTAAATAAAAAAATAAAATATTTAGCAGGAAAACCAACAACCTAAATAAAATAGGTCACTGTTACATGACTGGTACTATCAGATATATATAATGTCAGACTGGTATAAAAACTAAGATAATTTTATTATTAGTTACTTGACTGTGTGATTACTGGTAAGATAAAAGAAAATTGCAGCTCAAGATTGGTTTCTGAATCAGATAGTTATCCCCATTATCAACAGATTTTAACTCCAGATTAGCAGTTTCCTAATCCCTCTTGACAAATGAAGTGAAATGATGAAGACTGCTATTATCAGATGTCTGAGAGAGGGGCTACTAAATAAACCACCCACCTTGTCGAAAAGCTAGAGTCTGCGTCTCTCCCAGCACTGAGTCAATGACCATGCCATAGATATACATCTCTAACAAGATGCTTCTTTCCATCTCAGCCTTTGCCCTTTCATCCTCTGGTCTGTAGCTTTGTCCAGAGAGGGTAATCATACCTGTGCCCACACCTATGAAAAAAAAATTCACAAAAAATCTATCATTTATTACATTAACTATAACTAAGTAACAGAAATGTAAGATTATCTCTATCCCATGAACATATATTGGTACATAGTTCGCCACAACTCAAAATTATTAATCATCTCTATTTCAGATTTTTTTAACATAAATTTTTGCTATTTCAAATGAATTTTTTAACTTCAAAACCCAACTTTCAACAGGCAACTTTCTTGAATAAACCCATCCAACAAGCATTTCATCATTTGAGTTTTGTCCAAAAGAACTATGCTGTCAAAAAATAATATTATAAAGATTGATCTTTTTTTATATATATATATATATATTTAGGAAATTACCGCACCAGTAATAGTTTCATTGACCATGACTTCGATTCCATCATGCCGACACAAAAATCCTTGTGCCCAAACAATTTCAGGTGAAACAAACTGTTCACATGCTGCAAAAATGGCCGGCAAAAGATCCCTGTGGAACCCGGCAGGGTACGTATAGGTTTGTGTCTTCTTGATGACTGGTGCATTGGGAGGACAATTGAAATCTTCCTGAAATATAAAGGAGCATAAAATTCTACATTAATTCTAGATAACAATAATATTTATCACTCATCTGAGCAGTAGAATTCATGTTATAATAATAATAATAATTATTATTATTATTATTATTAATAATTATTATTATTATTATTATTATTATTATTATTATTTTATTATTATCATTATTATTATTATTATCATTAATTGCACACACATCCCAAAATAAGATCTCTGTAGCCACTAATGAATATGATGAGGAAGGAAAGACTAAACAGAATAACCCCTTGGCTTACTGTTTGAACCAGCCATCATATTGTTAAGAACAGTGCTAAAATTTAGATGAACAAGAATTGTTAATTTTAAAATCCATTACCTGCAATTATCAACTTCAAAGAAAGTATTTTTGAATAATAATTTGCCTATACTTTGCCTCTAACAGTAATTTTTGACAATCTACATTTACTTAATTACGTAATATGTAATATTTCTGACTGACCAGTGGAATGCTGGGCTGTTGGACAGTCCGACAATTGAAGAAAAGATATGTCCAATCTTCTGGGGTGAGGCTGGTGCGGAAACTTTTCGCCTGTTGGAGAATCCCCAGGTCATCAATCATCTTGTACAGTATCTGAAAGTAGCAAAATAACACAATTTCAATCACAGTGTCTGTAGATAACATATATTAACATTGTTTTATGACAGTGAAAATTCATAGAAGAGATCAGCACTTACAAACTCAAAGGGATATATATGTTAATAATGATCTCTATAATTTTTTCCGTCCAATATCTAATGTTAACTTAACTAAGCCAGAACTGTACAAAATGCACAGTATATACTTTACAAAAACAGCTTGGTTAAAACAATACTTATATATATATATATATATATGGTTACCTGGAAGTTTTTATCATCAATTGCAGAATCAATACTGGTAACTGCCTCCTTCAAATTTTGACAGGTATAAACCTTCTGCCCATCTGGCAAATATAGCACAGGGGTTGACATGGGAACAGGAGTGCTACAGTTGAGTGCCTTGTTCATCACTGCTGCAAACACCTCAATGTTCAAGATCACTATCGGCTCTGGAAGCTGACTCAGGTACAGAATAATACCCTAAAACAAGAGATTTTAATCTTAATATTAAAATACAGTGATCAGTTAAAAGTCATTACATCATTAAAAAGTTCATGCCCAAAATAAATGTTTTTTTTTATTTATGTACTGTCACAAATGAAATCATGAACACAATAAACTGGAACAGAATTAAAAAGATTGTTTCTGGATACAATTGAGATCATGGAAATTTAATGTTTTGTCTCAATTCATTCAGTAGCACAATCTGAGATGTGTACATATCAATATACTGGCAATAAATAACCTGAAACCATCTATACACTTCTTGAATAAAAGACTGTAACATTTTTCTAGTTCACTGTTTAATTTTTTATAAAAATTTTAAACAATTACTGCATAATGACAATTATATACTCTGTCATAAAATAAGATAATTAAATATAATCAATATTATTCAACCTTTAAAATTTTGACACTTAACAATCATTCTTCTACAATTCTGACATTAAGTTTTTTTAATTAAATAAACTTTACTGAAAGTAAATATGATAAAGAAAATAGATTCTTCAATATATATTATACTACAATCAGTCATGTATTTGTCAGCAAAAAGAAAAACCCTAAAGTATGCAAAAATTTGCAATAAAAAGAAAACTTATAAAGCCTTTTTACCTGAGAATGTAAATCTTTCAGGACCTTGTGATGGATCCCATGGATGTTTTTCCAACTGTCATCTGCAATCCTGCCTGCATTCACTCCAGCGTACCTCTGGACTATTTTCTGCTCCTTGCTGTCTGTCTGCCAGGGACTAACAAAATCCTTGATCTTCTGACATATTAGAAGACCACTGAACATTTCTGGGAGACCCTTGCAATAGAAAAATAATACATTTTAATTCTTAAGTTAACATTTACATTTTAACATTAAAATTAACGTCTTAGAATTAACTTCTTACATAACTTTTTCTGAGAGATCCTTGAAATAGAAAAATAATACATTTTACTTCTTATAAGTTAACATTTAAATTTTAACATTAAAATTAACTTCTTAAAATTAATATCTTACATAGCTTTTTATAATGGACATTGTTCATCATTAGTTTTGACAAAATTGATCAACTGGTTCTCGTGTGACAACTCTCAGTAAACGGGGCAGACAGAGGAAATTTAGGTTAAACTTTGCTTTTGTTTTTTCAAAACATCATGAAGTTTAACGAACATATCAATTTAATTTCAGGGCTGGCCAGTGTTTTTCTTTTATTTTAAGGGTGGTGAAAATTCATTTCAAGGGGAAATGTCAAACCCATAGTGTGGATATTTTTAGAGTTGTAAATTGTAAATTTCTTCCTCTTACCACATCAATACCCCGTGAATTTTTTTTTTATACATAAAAATAGGTGCAATAACTGATTTCCTCAAAATTAGGGTAGGTTGTACCCAACCAATCTACAAAATTTGTCTGCCCTTACCTTTTCATCCAGGCAGACATGCTTCACTATGTCCTTTTGAGCTCCCAGGAATCTCGAAAATCTATCCAGCTGGACGCTCAAAGTGCAGAATTCCTGCAGCAAGGAGAATTTCTTCACAGAGCTGAAAAGGATTTTCACATGAAATAATATAAAAAAAGTCCTTTATGGAATAACTTCTATTGATGTGCAAAAAAATTTAACTTCTGTTTAAAAAAAAGGTACATAAGTTGATGCCAAGTTAAGTTAAGAGATTCTTTCAGCTGCAGGGTGCTGATGATTGGATGTGGACTGAGTTTCGCAAATAACCTCAGTTTTTGGCTTTAGGTAAGACAAAGATAAGTTTGTCATACAAGACAGCTTTCTTATAATATATGTACTGAAGTACCAGTTGAAGAACATTTTAAAAAAGACTGACTAAATGCAGTTGGCCTGGCACTGACCTCTAACCCCAGGCATGTCATTAAAAAGCGTCAAGTCAGACAAAATTATTTTTAAGGGCTCAGTTTTGAGACCCCCCCCCCCAAAAAAAAAAAAAAGAAAAAAAAAATGCACCCTGCCCTTCCTGAGACACAAATCAGATTCTAAGATCATTATTTGCAATGCTACGTGTGTCATATATGCAAGCTCTCATCTAACATTCACAAAGTTGATATTAATATAGTATTGCTCTGCTATACATACGTCTTCCCACTCATCAAGCCATCACTGTAAGCTGTCATCTGCTTTAACAGGCCAGCATGTGTTTGCTGGACTTTGTTCACAGCCTGGGTATATATTTCCATCAGGTCATTCAAAGTGCCCTTCCCAACCCCTGCAATTTGGAAGGGTGTGCCCCAATACAAGATCTGTGAAGGGGGATGCCTTAACAAGCTCAGGGGGGATTGCACCAGCGTGTGAAGGACCATCCTAAACAAAGTAATCACAAATTAAGAAAATTATACACAAAGAAAAGTTAATAAAAACACACACAGTCTAGTTTCAAATACATAATATGCCTAACTAAGTCTCTCTCTCTCTCTCTCTCTCTCTCTCTCTCTCTCTCTCTCTCTCTCTCATTAATTAACCACCTTCCAATAAATCCAATGTGCCCAAATCACAAAGACAAACACCTTCACATTATCTCTGAGAGGGATCAAACAGACTACTAAAATTAGGAAATCTCCAAATTGAATGTTCCTTTGCTAAGTGTCATAGGCCTACCTCATTTTGCTTATACATGTTTTAAGTTTTCAATATTACTTTCATTGGAGCCATCTTACCTTACTGGACAAGAAAGGCCTTGTTATTTTCACACCACTTTCATTATTCGAATGCAGCCCAGGGTTTATGAAGGGAAACAATGGGACGTCAGGTGGGGCAACTTCCTGTCTGGGTACTTTTACTACCTAAAATTGAACAAAAAATGAAGAATAATGCCTCCAAAGATATGTAGGTGATGTGTGTGTTTGTGTAATACTGTGCACGCTCGTTGTGTGAATGTGTGTCTATGCCTGAACGTGTGTTCATACACTTATGTGCGTGAGAGAGAGAGAGAGAGAGAGAGAGAGAGAGAGAGAGAGAGAGAGAGAGAGAGAGAGAGAGAGAGAGAGAGAGA